GTGTGTGTGTGTGTGTGTGTACCCTTTTTACGTTTTTCTAACATGGTGCATAAATTTTTTTGAAAAAGCTTTAATGCAATAATTGACAAACAACAAGCTGAAGTGAACTCAAAACATGTTCACTGCAACAGAACAAAAAAATTTAATTAATTAATTAAAAAAATAAATTCATCTAAAGGCTCAAAGCATTTTAGGACACCACAATTAACCCTTATCAAATTTTGGTCCCTGCAGCTGAAAGCAAAGCTTACAAACTCCTGGCGAAGTCTCAAAACGTGTCCCGGCTGACGGCTACAGAGGTCGACCAGCTGGTGTCTGAACTGGAGGCTCTTTTGTCCGGGCCGACAGTCAGCCTGGTGCTGGGAAACATCTCTGTCCACATCGTCAGCAATCTGCTGGGGGCTACACCTGAGAAGCTGTCGGGCTCTTCCTCCAGGTTACTCATAATTTCACTTAACCTTTGCCAAACGCATGAAGTTACTGTTTGACTTGTTGAAGACMCATGTTGGTGCATGTCTATGTGTGTGGGGTTAAGTAAAACAAAACAGAGAGATTGTTRTCCACAAAGTATGTAAATAGTTCATATAAATGTGAAATACAGTTTATTATATTGTGTAACACTAAAATGTTGGAACAATGAGCTTATTAATTAATTAGGAGAAAAATAACTTGCAATTGTCTTCAAAKATACATCAAATATATATTTGTGTTGCTTACATTTTACCATAACATTTCAAGGATCAAAGTTGTAAATATGTGGTGAGATGTTAAGTGTTTCATAAAATGWATGGAGTCAGCAACTGTTCTTACCTTTTCTCTAGCAGGATTATAAGGATTGTCGACACAGTGGGCTTGAAGCTGGTCGTTGGGGGAACAGCTCAGACTCTGTTGGCCCCGTCTCTGTCTCTGTCTGTGAAACCGGCCGATGGCACAAATTTCCAAGCGGTGACTTTTTCAGTCTCGGATCGCAGCACTGTTTCGGTGAGACATTTAATGCCCACAGTATTCGTTGTTCTGATAAAGGCAAAACATCCAAATGTGTCATTCTGTGCAGAAACGACCTATTTTGTTTMATTTATAGAAGGACCAGTCATACTTGTGGACTCACTGACGTGTTTTACTTACATTAGTTCAGACGTTTGGAAGATGGGTTCTGATGAAAAGTGATGAAKAATTAAGATCTTACCTGTTGCAGATAGCTCTTTGAAAGAACTCAGTTTGGAGACAGGGTTTAATTCTGACATGTTTGAGAAATCCTTGAATCTCCTGTAGGCATGTGGACCTGTGTTTAGCTCCTAAACATGCTGGTGCACATCAATCCAGTCAGACTTTAACTCTGTTTCTCTGAACTTGTTCAAAAAATATCTACAACAGCTATTAATTAATGATAACCTTTTCACACAACCCCACATCCAACAATCTAAACTGTCATTTTTAATTAATTGTTGTTGCCAACTTTGTGCTTTCGTAATATTTCCAATTACAGCTTGGTACATATATMACTCTGCTTGTTGTGAACTTCACCTTGTTAAATGAAACTCTCATCCATGTTTCATGTGTGCTGCAGGTCCGCAGAGWTCCAAGGCTGACGAGGAGTCTGACCACAGCCTCCTCTGTCCCTCAGGGCTCCATCAATCTGCCCTCCACCCTCACTCAGGGTCTAACAGAAGAAGAAAGGCGGATGGTTTCCKGACTTCAGTTCCACTTCTACCAGAAGAGCACCGTGTTCCAGGTTTACAGAATTAACCATCACTATTAATAATCAACAGTGCAGAAACACAAAAGAAAAAATAATTGATTTTAATTTGAATTCTGCAAGATATTTTAGGACAACTTTTTATGATTTATTTATTTTACTTTTTTTTGCGCGTGTGTGTGTGTATGTGTTGTCTCAGGACAAATCATTAGGACAGCGTAAACTCATCAGTGGGATCTTAGGAGCAACTGTGACTAATCTGTCAATCAAGGGACTGACTGAACATGTTGGATTTCAGCTGGAAAATACAGAACCCATACCTGTGAGTCCAAAATAACAACTAAAATACTTTAATTTGTCTGTCATCAATTACAATACATGCAAAACTGATYTTTTCAAAAATTACAGGCTAATTTTGTTGCAACCTGTGTTTTCTGGGACTTCACATTAAACAGTAAGTTTCTTGCAGTTTTTTAATTTTTTTATAATATTTCTACTGTAAAGTTTAATTTAAACAAGGCGATATAAGATATAGCTGATCTGTGTTTTTCTTTCTGCAGACGGTTCAGGTGGTTGGAGCTCAAATGGCTGCTTTGTCAAAAACAGTACTGACCATGAGACAATCTGTCTCTGCAACCATTTAACCAGTTTTGGTATTCTGCTGGTAAGACGACAACTATAGAGTATTATACTTTTTCATGCTTTGTATATTTAGTACAAACAAAATTTCATCAACTTGTATATATTTCTGTCAGGATGTTGCCAGACAGCCTACTGTCAGRGCCGTTCAGAACACCATCCTCACCTTCATCACATACATTGGCTGTGGAGTTTCGGCAATCTTCCTGTCTATAACTCTTCTCACTTACCTGGCCTTCGAGTGAGTTAGTCCTCATTTTGRCTTATTATTGCCTGTATCTTGACTGTTAGCAGAATATTTCACGAGCCAGTGAATGWATTTTAAGGATTCTCTCAGAAAACGATAATTAGATGTACATCTACAACTGAGAAACTCATTTCAAGWTGGCCACCACAGACTATTGGCCTTGGCAAATCAAAAATATGTTTATAGTTCAGGCAGTTTTTACAAAWAATAAGTGGAAATGTAATGTGYTAGTAACTGAGATTCATCTTCAACACATACTCTGAGCACCAACAGARTGCAGAAGATCTTTGTSTAAAACRTTGGTGTACAAGGCAGCTGGTGATGTGTGTTCCTTCAAGAAATGCTTGTTTTGTTAAAAGGACATATTTTAACATGTCCAAACCATTTTGTCCCTTGCAGGAAGTTGCGTAAAGACATCCCGTCCAAGATCCTGATCGAGCTGTGCGTCGCCCTGCTGCTGCTCAACATGGTCTTCCTGGTGGACGCGTGGCTGGCCCTTTATCCGGACGCTGTGGGCCTTTGCATCTCCACCGCCTGGTTCCTTCACTACTTCCTGCTGGTGGTCTTCACCTGGATGGGGTTGGAGGGGGTCCACATGTACATGGCCATAGTGAAGGTCTTCAACAGCTACATACCATACTACATGCTGAAGTTCTCACTTGTGGGCTGGGGGGTCCCAATGCTTGTGGTCATCATTGTCATTGCGATCGACAAAGACAACTATGGCCTCGTGTCCTACGGACGGTCTACAGATGGCACTAGTGATGACTTGTAAGTTCTTTCAGAGCATTGTTTTGGTTTAAAAACAAGCAGCATAAATGTCAAGGGGAAAACTTTAAACCCTGTGATTCCTTGTTGGTTTTTCACAGCTGCTGGCTGAAGAACGACATTGCCTTCTACGTTGCCGTCGTGGCCTACTTCTGCGTCATTTTCATCTTCAATCTCATCATGTTCGTCGTGGTCTTAGTTCAGCTGCATCGAGTGAAAAAGCAGAATCCTCACAACGTGAAGCAAGGCATGACGGTGAAGGACGTCCGCAGCGTGTTGGGGATAACGTTCCTCCTGGGCCTCACGTGGGGCTTTGCCTTTTTCGCCTGGGGGCCCGTTAACCTGCCGTTCATGTACCTCTTCGCCATCTTCAACTCCCTGCAAGGTGGGTCCAAAACAGGATCATTCTTTTAACAAGCAGTAAAGCACAAATTTTCCTGTAAACGTTGGATTTGTTGCAAGCTTTTAACCACATTTGAGGTAGAGATTGACTGATACAGGTTGTTTAAGTTCGATGCCGATACAGAATAATTTGACATCAGTCTAAACGATCGCTGACATGTGCTGGGCCAATTCTTGAAGCCAATATTGCTTTTTCTTCCCCCATTTACATGGTAAAAATGACACATTGATTACAAATGGTACCCAAGTCTCAATTTAAACTAAAAATAAACTTTTATTAACAAAACATTACCAATGGATAGCAAACAATGTAGAACAGTTAAATACAGTATGTAATAATAAAAACAAAAAAAATCTTAACTTTGTTTTTATTGTATCGGGAAACACATGTACGTATCGGCTAATGTTGTTACAACAAAACAAACAAATATCGGCCCAAAATGTTGGTCAACCTCTAAAAGACGGTTAAAATTGTTTAAGAGTATTATTACAACCTACATAAAACTAATATACCAYTCAGTATACCTACCTATCTGTCCAAGTATTTTAGCAAAATAAATTAGTGTTGTCTGTACAAAGTAATATGCAGTATAATGCTGCTATCAGTTTAGTTGTATTTGCACAGTATTACAGATCAAAATTCCAGGAAAAAAATAAAATAACCCATCCTTCAGTTGATCATGAAATTACGAAATATAATCACGTAAAAGAAAGAAAAATGTAAAAAAATAACAAAAACATCACATTTAAAAATATGAATGGGAAATTGAATAGAATATGTAACAATGATGAAATTCAAAATCACAACTCTTTAATTAAGTGCAGTTTTAGATAACTTTTAAACTCTTTCACAGAAGGCCCGCCTTTTGCAAAGTGGGAAAGGTCATTCCAGAGTTTAGCTTGCCTGTACCGGAAAAAAGGAAAAAAAATTCTGACCTGATATTTGCAAAGATGAAGCACTGAACTGAGTTAATTACGAATAAACCTGCAAATTTTATATAAAAGCATTTGTAGAGTGCATCAGTATATTTTATTGGCTTTCACAAATCTTTTTAAACAAAAATACAAATAAAAAATGTTAATGTTATAGAGATCTGATCGAGTTGCAATTTTAATAAAGCGACAGTAATTCCAAGAAAATCTGAAAAACTTTGAGGTAATCCTAAAAAATAAATCACCATATTTTTAATGATTTTTATGAGTTCCTTTTGCTGCTTTTATGAAACTGCTCTAGAGAATAAGAGACTTGTAACACACCAAAAACAATTGTCTTGCAGGTTTCTTTATATTTGTGTTCCACTGTGCGGTGAAGGAAAGCGTGAGGAAGCAGTGGAGGACCTACCTGTGCTGTGGCAGAATGAGACTCGCAGAGAACTCAGGTGAGACTTGCTTCAACCCCTTTCGCCCTCCACCTGCTCTCTGATCCACTTGAAGGGGGTCCTGTCAAAGTTAAGAGTCTATAAAAACATTAATCACCTTTTCATCTCCGTGTCTTTTAGAGTGGAGTCGAACTGCAACACAGAAAACTGCGAGGAGGTCCCCACTCACATCCTTCCACTCATCAAACTCTCCCAGCTCCTCCACTTTCCTCGTCAGCAACTCTTCAGACGTAACAAATGGCGTTAGTAAGTGTGCTCTTATTATTCTAACATCAATCTTTTTAAGCAAGGTTTTGTCGAAAGGTTATGAACGAACGATATCTTACCTGCAGTAGATAAATCTTTACCAGAGGATTTTTTTCCCATTTTAAAACTGTTAAAAATGTCAAGTTAATGTTCATTTTATTGCTGTAGATTTTGCACTATTATTTTGACACAAAATTGTATTATTTTCAAGCGCAAATAGCAGCAGTAGCAGCTAGCTGTAGCATTTGATGCAGTCTGGGGCACTTTCAGCAGGAATGTCATTTGCCTACAGTAATATTTGTTTAACAACTTGTAATGTAATTGTAAATTTTTGAAGTTGGAGTTGTTTTTTAGATGCAGCAGTTCACTATGGTGTTGGCTTTTTTAGGACTAGCCATTAGCTTGTCACTTCAGTAAGAACCTGTAGTTCTCCAAACGAAGCTACAACAGGTTAGATGTATTAGTTTATAACTTTTCCATAAAAATCCCAAATCTAAAGACCTGAACAGCCAACTTACACTTTGTGTTGTCTTCTATGTGACGATTAAGAAGAGCCTTGTTAAGGCAATCTGTGTTTTATTCACCCAAATCCTCTGGAAATAACCGTTCTTGTGCATTGCAGGTAGTCCATTTGACGACCAAACTATCACAGCTGATGAAAGCCCAAACATGGATGTGGTTCTGAATGAGATGAACAGTCGATACAGAAACCAACAAGCAACCTGATACAAAAAAATGTGTAAATAATGTAAATCAGCAGAGTAATATATCTTTAAATATACTATTTAACTGACTTGTAATAAAACACACAAAAACGTGTTTTCTTTTTTRTTGCAGTCGCTGGACTTCATATTTTTAAAAGCATTCAGTGTCCAAATTTAATTATTTCAATGCAATTAAATTTTCCAATTCCTACCCAATTAAACCAAAGTTAAATCTAAAGTATTTTCCTGCTTTAGAGCAACATTTTGATATTTTATACTTTTAACTGCATTATCAGTAGTTAGCTGATCACAGCCCGCTGCTTCACCACAAGATGTCACTTTATCCTGACACCCATTGAATGAAACCCTTCACTCTTAGACAAACACTTCACTACAGAAGCCCCCCAGAGTGAGGCCTTTTACTCTTTTCTGCTACATAGTTACCAAAGTGCAGCTGAGAAGCATTTAGCTTGGTTGTGCCTATAAAATGAATTAATCCTCTTGCCTGTTTTATGCTATTATTGTTGTCATAAATCAGTCATGGTAAAAAAAAAAAAAAGTATCGTCTTTGCAACAAAAAACTCCTTAAGTATCAAATTTCTACTGAGTAATACCAATTAAATAAAAAAATATGTAACAAAATGGGTAAATGGTTATTTATGCTCATAAAATCTTGACTAGTTTGCTTATTAAGTTAAATATTTTGTTTAGCTCAATTAGTTTTGTTTAACAGTGGCTTTATTGATAATGGGTTCAACAGAACTTTAGTTTGTTTAGTTTAACAGGACAWTGGGAATATTTAGGGCTTTGGAAATCCTTTCACATCCCTGAACTTACTCATTTATTTTGCAATACTTTTCATTAACTGGTATTATTCCATAGAAATTTGATATTGCTTTGAATAAGTTTTTTTTTTGTAAAGAATGACCATTTTTATTGACTATATATAAAAACATAACATCCAAGGATAGAAATACTTTTCATAGACACGAGTCAGTGTTTTCCTCCAAAACACCTTTTAATTGCAGATGGTCACAGACTACCTCAAGTAGGACAGAACAATATTTGGTGAACTTATAATGAATAAATAAAGGTCACTCAGGGTCCACCACGTGTGCCGTGTACTGTATATATGCAAACTACATTCACCGTCCTCAACATGCTCCAAATATAATCAATATATCAGGAGAAATCAAAAAGGTGCTAATAATAAAAACATTACATAAAAACAGCACGAGCACAAATGTGGTATTAACAGGGAGGAAATGTTTCCCTTTTAAAACACACCTTAGACTTCCACCGGGCATGATCACGCCGCCTTAACACAACGTAAAATATTCAGGTCACATTTAACAAAAAAATCAGTCTAAAAGCAGCTCACGCACGAGTGAGCTCAAAAACTCAGTCTTTAAAGGTTWAACCATATAATCAGTGTATCAAATCAGTGTTCAAACATTTAACAGTTCCTTCAGAGCACATGCAAACAGGTTAAATCTAAAGATATACAAAAATATAAACCAAGAAGTTGCATTAAAAAAAATTWAAAAACTAAAACATTTCAGGAAGGGGAAGGTTGAGGGAAAACTGTCACTGTGCCTCTTCAGGGTGAAATCAGACTGAACTCAAGTGACACCAACATGTTTGAAGGAAGCTGTTTTCGCTGGTGACTAAAGAAAATATTGATTTATTTTAATCACCACCTCACATTAACTGATCTTCTGGGTGGTCAGATGGAAAAACAGGTGACTGAAATGAGATCTGGCTGCTAAAACATTTAGAGGAGGCTTAAGCCACAAATAATCACTTTTTTTGTATATTAAATGTTTCCAGGTCCATCTGCTCAACTGATGTCTAAATAAAAAGTTTTTCAAAGGATAAATAATACACTGCTGCCTCTATTTGCTTTTATCGGAAATGCAAATGATGGCCTGTTTTTTTTTTCTGGAACTTCCATCTATTCACAWGTGGTTACTTATATGCAGCTTAGTGCCAGTTTTGAACTACCGTACTAAAATCTTTTAAGATTATAATGTGACAAATGTAGCCAGGATTTTTAATAAGTCTCTTCAGTCTGAGAACACCAGCAAGGCTTTGTGGACAAACGACAGGGAAGCATCGACACATTCACATTCCAGCTGCTGTGAACTTCAGAGTACGACTGAGGCCTTTACTTTTTCCATGCAGTATAGAAAACCCATCTGATGGAGGTTAATTAAGGACTCAGAACAAAAAATTAAAACTTAGTGAATCACGTGTTGTGCTCGTTGACCTGCAATTCACCGATTATAGCTAAACCTGATAAAAAAGGATACTGCTCCAAGTAGGAGGGTACACACACCACCTCTTTGTGGAAGTCCACAGGACATGAGAGTTTCCCCAGCTGTTCTTCATACAGACTCAGTGCCTCGGTCAGATTTACACTGTTACCCTGATTACCAGTGGGAGAGACAATAAAACAAGTCATTAAACATCAAACACTGAAACCAGGTGCTAAAACCTGCAAACAGCTAAAATTTAATCCAAGGGATATTTTTACCAAAATACTCTTATAATAAACAAAATCATTTTCTACTCTGAATTCTACCAGAAATGTTCATTCAGGCTTGTTTAAACACTGTCTTGCAATTTATCTGAACACTTCAAAGTCTAATCTCAAGGTGAAACACAAATTGATGCGTATCTTAAATGTTTAAAGACAGCAAGTCTTCCTAATTGTACAGCTTGAAAACCATAAAGAAAATGTGGACTGACTGATGGGTTGCTAACATCAGCTAAGAAYTGCACTTAATGAGCAGCGCGTCTGAAAACGTTTTCATTCAAAACTCAGCCGAGTCTCACCTGTGTGAAATACTTTCCCTTGGGATGCAGGACACGTATTGACAGATCTAAAATGAGACGCAGAAACTCCCACGTAGAGTCTGCAAAAGATAAATGGGGAAAAAAAGGACAATGAATAAAAAAAACCCATAAACCTTGTTCGTTGCACAAAGAGACATGAGCAGAGTGATGAGAATAAGAAACCTTCTTCTGGTGCAGTGGATATTGGGATTGCAGTGAGGTCATTAATAACGTAATCGAATGTCCTTCCTTCCTGGACGTACTTCTTCAGCAAGGGGACACAGTCCTCAATTAGAATCTGTAAACCAGGAGACAAGATACGTTACTTTAGTCACAAAATATATGGAATCAATAGTGTAAATAATACATACATACTCGTTAATAAACATTTACTGCACCCAATCTTACATAGAGAACACACCTTTGCTATAATTAATTAATTAACATATTTGTAATGAGAAGACTTTTGCACATTGTCTTTATTAAGAGTTACATTTTCTAATGAGTATTTGTCCTGCACTCACTTGGTAACAGTCTCCCCTCAGGGTGTCCAGAGTATTGCCGCAAGTTTTCCTCATGTGCATCTTGCACCCATCTATCACCTTCTGATCAATGTAGAGGTTTTGTCAAGGAAACATCGATCATGTCCAGATGCAGAAAAACACATCAGGGAATGTGTTTTATCACAAGGATAAAACAAAGTTGAAACAGGAAAGGATATCTCCACCATGATAACCATCTTTGGCTTCTGTTTGACCAACTCAGCGAGGATGCCTCCATCACCTCCTCCTAAGATCAGCACTTCTTTTCCTGCATAATTCTCTTTTCCACTACCTGTGATGGCTCGGGTGTAGGCGATGTCACTCTCTGCCAAGTCTGCACAACAAATGCAGTGTTTACACAACAGTCAATTCTGCGTTTCGCGCATTACATCACACAGGGTAGAGAAAGAGGCCAAACTAACTCATTTTGTCTTCACTGTCGTGTTTTAAGCACTTACTAACATCTCCATCGAGCACGAGGACATTTCCGTACTGCTTTGAGTGCAATATTTGTATGTTTTGGTACGCCGATTCTTCTTCGTACACCACCTCGTCGATGTCATACTCCATCAACCTTCCATCGGCCGTGGGCCAGTATCGGTCAACTTTCGCTCCTCGCACCAAAGCCGGGAGCCTTAACAAAAACGAGGAAGAATAAGATTCCTAAATACTTGTGCAGCCTTTCTTGATCAAATGAAGCAGTTTGATATCAAAACCATAAAATCTTACTTTTTAATCCTTGTGATATTGCCATTTAAGAGAACTTTCAGCTTCTTTTCCAGTGCATTTAAAAGCTGAGGAGAGAAAGAAACGATTTGAACACAGCGGTTATGTTGTCCGTTTTGGTTTGTGGTAGCTGTTCACATAAAAATCCAGTTGTTCTTGTCAAATTTTCTGAATGTTTTAGCTTTCAGGTAACAGAAAACACACTGTTTAAGCGTACGTACATTGTCAAGCTGTGAGATGTTATCGTCATCATAACACTGCAGGTCGACGGTGACCAACCCATGGGAGTGCACACGCAAAATAACAAGCCTGAGGACACAAATGAAATCATTTAAAGCAGTGAAAATCTGCGGAGAAATATTTTACGCTCAAGTAAAACTCTACCAGTTGCTATTATTCTCTCCACTCACCGGCCATTTTTGCCTACAAATGTAGCGAGGTATCCATGCCCGTTTGTGTCATGAATAGTTTCTGCCAGTTCCTGCTCATGAAATATGGACAGCAGACCAGGAACTATAGCGGCAGAGTCAACTAAACTCCAACAGAAAAAAGAAGGATTTTCTTTTAAAAACTTGAACCTGCCACAAAAATAAACAGTATTTACTACAGCAGATGTTAAAACATTCATCATTTACAGTAAAGTGGAAGAATATTACAAAGAAAAACAAAAAAATGTGCATAAGAAAAACTAAATTTTATTTAAATGTAATATGATGCTGTCAAGTGTYTGTCTAAGCTGTGACTACATGTAAGCAGCATTTTGTTACTGCAAATGRTCATTATGTTTAAAATGCCAACTGAAAAATCACTCATTTTAGCCTGTGGTACAACTTTTCTATACTTTATTATGTCAATGTAATGTATTATTTTATTTATTTGCATGTTTTCATCAAGTGACTTTGGAACGTCTTGCTATGGAAAGGTGCTATATAAATAAAATTGCCTATTTCTTCTTTTATACAAAATGGTTTAAAGCTCTTTAGCTACATACATATTTTATTTGCTGCTATAAAATTCACACATTAGTAGCCAAGTTCCAAAAATAAATAATACGTTTTGTTCATGAAGTCCCAAGCATTTATTTATTAATATAAATCAGAAATGCTTAAGTAAAAATACTTTCAGTTTAGTCTTTTTTTGAACATTGTCCACAGTTACAAATAAAATGACAGAACCTATATGTATTCTAATTAATTTGTTAATATTTATATGTATTGAAAAAAAATGTTGATACGTGAATATTAAGTTTCGCAACGACGACTAAAGAYAACTACAAAAATGGCGGAAACTGAGCCACGTTCCATGCGACGCAGCGCTGGATTGAACATGCTTTATTCACARTGTTAGCTAAACAAGAGCCGCTGTTCTCATTTGGACAAAACAGGCGACAAAACTCTCTTTAAGATTAAACTATGGTCCACAAACACGCATAACAGTTAAAATACTTATCCAACGTAACTGTCTGCTTTTACTTTCATTTTACTCCACTGTGTTTGAGTTGAGCTGCGAATAAAWAAATAAATCTGCCGTGTTTGCTCTGATGAAGGGCAATAAAAGACTAGCAGGTAATATTAGCTATCAGGCTAAKAGCTAGCGGGCAGCACAGACTGTAAAACTCAAGCACCGGTTTATATCCAGACGACTCGTCTTGCTCGTCCTACCTGCTGTAGAAAGACTAAAGTCGAGAGTATAATGTCGCAKTGCCATGTCTCACTGCAACCGACATCCATGCCTGGGACAGCAGACTGCGAAAATTTATCTGCAGAGACAGAGGGAGGGCCCTACTGCTACCACCGCTGCTCTGCTGCCGCACTGCACATGCTAAAGTGGGCGGGGCCACAGTGCTCGTGTGCGTGACAGAGACTCGTACGTGAAAAACAAAAGGAGGCAGTCTTCTAGCCAATAAAAAAACAGTAAATTGCCCTTCTGTGTCTTCCAAATGTTATTCCGCTGTAGCTGTACATCTGATAATTACTTTCTAAAGTGTCGTTAAAATTCCTCCAGTGGTTTGTGAGATATTTTGTGTGTGTGCGTGCGTGTGCGTGTGCGTGTGCGCGTGTGTGTGTGTTTTGAAAAAGCTTGAAACTCCACCCCATGCAGACAGAGGCAGATATTATGAGTTGACACCTCTAAATAAACATGATGCAATGTTCCCACCCATTAGAGAGCCTTAAAAATATTRGTTTTTTTGCATGTCTGTGCATGACTGTTTGTGTTTCAGCTGTAGRTAATGAATGCATATGTGTAATATGCTTTGTATAAGTGTTATATTATGTTAAAGAGGCTGCTTTTTGAAATTATATGGCTTCAAATATATGTGACTAAACACTAAGATGAATATTGTTCAAATAGGAAAAACAGGTAAAGTGGGATGTTGCAACTAGCTTCTACTTGTTATCGTTTCCCTTTTTTTTCTTCTTCACTTTGTGGTTTTGTTGAACTGAAATAAATAGTTTTCCGTGCACTTCTGCAAATCTGTGAACCATCACTGAAAATGTTTCACACAATTTTTTCACGTATTTTTTTTGGCTTTCCTTATTTGCTAATTTTAAAGTTTGGGTTATTAAAAAAAAGCTTTGTTTTATATCTGTTGAAAAAGTTCAATGGCCTAATTTGAGATCCACACACATTAAAAAAATTAGATCATAATAATGAGCATAAAGGTGCACAGTCACACTCTGTCGTGACTCGTGTTTTAATCACTAAAAAAGTAAAAACATTCAAAAACATTGTGTAACTAATATAATCAGTGTGTTGGCAGGTGCATGAGAGTAAAAATGATTTAGGCAGCATGTTGATTTGTGCAAAACCAAGAAAAAAACGGGGCTCCGGGGTACAGGACAGCCTGCTGAGTTGACCTTCCTGCTGTGAGGTGACGGTACTAACTAACTTAACTTTACAACACTGAGGAGTCATGTGCTTCTTATATTAGAAGTGAAATAGAATTTTGGCCTGAAAATATCCCTCTATTTATAGCAGATATCAAATACTTTTAATGGTGTTCAACAGATAAGATACTGCCAGACCTTTTAAAAGAGTTGTGCCACAACACGTTTTGCTAATTTTAGATTTRCTTGTATTTTCTAGCTGGTTTTATCCCATTTCAAGCTTCGGCTAGTTCGACTATTCTGTACTCAGTATTTTTTTTGCAGAAAATACTCATTTTATTTATATTATACTGCAATAAATAGATGCCCTTTGCTGTGCTGTTATTTAGAAGCAATTTTAAAAAAAGTTGCACTTTGATATTTTTTATGATAGATAAATTTTAACTGGGTTTTATGAGATGTATCATTTGTACACACGTGTTGCAGAGTGAGAAAAAACAACAAACATTTCCACACAGATTTATTTATARGAGTGAAATAAAGGAAATAAATAARTAAATAATAWTTRTGAAGTACARACAGTAAATTRGGACAGGGAAAAATCTAGTGCACACAGGCAAAAGATTTAAACGAGCTCTTTGGTATGTCTCCAAATGCAAAATCTACTGCAGTTCCACATTAATCCAGTTAGAGTTGTACAATACATATGATAATCCAGAAACATTACGCAATAAGCTGCATCATACTCTGTACATGTATGTAGGCTGCTGTGTGTTTGATTAATGGGAGGGCTTAATGTCTATTCCAGGCAAATAGTTTGAATCAGCTAAGAATCTACAACAACTCAGTAATAAATAAAACAAACTGTATGGAAACCTAACACTGCCAACATCAACACATTATTATACCAAAAACAAATAAAATATACACATAATACAATATTTTGCAGGATTCCTCAGTGTGGTACCCGCTGTTTCTCAGAAAGTGCCACAAATGACATTTTTACTCAAAGATAAAGACATAAAGAAAAGACAGATTCGATCYTTAGAAAGTAAACCCYCCGCAATCAAAAGCATCAAAATCAGAGTCTGCCACTTCAAAGTCAAAGCTGTTGTAGTGAGGCGAGTCCAGCGCAGCGCCCCTCATGTCGCACACTCCTGCAGGTCCGGCGCCGGAGAAATCCGCGTTGATCGGCAGGTCAGCTTTGGCGTCCACACTGAAGGACGAGCACGCTCCCAGGTATCCCACGGCGGAGGAGGCAGCAGCCCCGCCCATCAACAGATACACCCCCTTCATTGCCTGAGCGTTGGTGATGGTGCCGTGGCGCAGACARCCCACTGTCTGTGCACATCGCCTGTAGTTCTTTGTTCGTGGGGAATTCCTGCCTGTTGGATTGAGACGGTTTGGAAAACTTAAACCTTATTTTCATAACATACATTTAAAGCCCTGAGCTCACCTTTCTCTCTAGGGGAAGCGTTGGATGTWGGTCCAGGGGAGGATGACTCGGTGTCACTGACGGGTGGAGTCGGTGGATCTTTGTCCAGAATTTGCTCGGGCACCAGGTCTCGGAGAATGAGGCGTGGCGGTAATATTTGATGCCGTTTGCAAGGACTGAGAGGGGACGAGAGACTCTGCAGACAACAGAAGGTCAGATAGAGTTAGGAAAAGAAAACATTTTTATGGAGCCTGGTAGGGCCAGGTGTGAAATGACAAATCTGATGATGGAATTTTAGACCTGTTTTCTTGATTTGGTGATTTATCTACTGCATTTTATATTGAACTTTATTATACGGTGTCCATTTTGTGCCATGAAAGGCTCCTTTCAGTAAAACATTTTATCA